TCAGTTGCTTGCCAGTAGCTCCGTGATGGGCACATCTCCCAGTTCACTTCCTGTTTGCAGACTGGCTCTCCCTTGAGCACTGCTGTTCTACTGCCTGGTTCTCTGATATTCTGGTTGATGAGGGGCCTTGGACCCGACTGTGTTGAGTGCAAGAAGCTGCTGCCAGTCACCTCACAGGAGCCCTTGGCCCAGCGGGCCCGGGGCCAGCACTACCCACATCCAGTTCGTCCTCTCTCCTGCTTTCTTCTCTATTGATCTTCCCTCCTTCCCTGTGTGCCTCACGCTCACAGCCCCTCGGGTGCGAAGATCCGGTTCCCACGCCCACCCCTCTTTCTGAGCCAGACAGGGACGGGGCCTCCTCTTTGTAGTTGGTGAACATGTTCCTCGGTGTCTCACTCGGGCACTGTGAACTGCCTATTTCTTCTTGGGACTCCCTCCTCAGTTGGTTTCTGTGACTCTGATTCCAGGACTCACATTCATCCCTTCCCCACCATGTAGCCCCTGAGTCTGAGCCATGGGCTGGGCTGGAGCAGAAAAGAATGAAGAGCTGGTTCTTGCCTTCGAGGGTCCTGGAGAGGGGCCCCAGGGTCTGCACGCACTGGAGGAGGGCACTAGGGCAGGGCACGGGGTCCAAGGAGTAGCAGGGAGACTTCGTTCTCCCATCACGTAAGTGAGAACACGCCCCAAGGTTCAGCTCTTCCTCCTTCTCTATGAACCCTGAGCCGAGCCCCAGGATTTCGCCGCCATTCCCACGCAGGTGCTCCAGCTCCATGTACTAAGGGCCAGACTCACCCCGATTGCGCACCAGTCACTTTGAACCTAAGTATGAAGCCAGCGCATCTAGCACGCCTTCCCAATCCTACTCCCACCGCAGCTGATCTTGGCTGGGTTACTCGTCCTGGTTGCCTTGTTCCCTGAGGAATCAACTTCTACTTTCTCCCAGGCCCCCCACGTCTCATCAGTCACCCAGGCTTATGCTGCTTCCTACTTGACATCCCTCTGCTCTGGGTGAGCCCTTTCTCTCCTTTCCCACTGCCAGGCAAACTCCGTATCTTCTGAGAAGCCTCCCCCGGGCCTGCCCAGCTCTGGGTTCTGAAAGCTCTTATTGTCTGTCAGTTTATCACTTGGCACTTAGTGTAGACTCCCTTGTTAGTTATATCTCCTTTTTTTTTCACTGTGTTTGTGACTTATCTTCCCCATGTCGGATGCCCAGTCTTTTGTATTGTGCTTGCCCGCATTGCCCACAGCATTCAGGAAACAGTGGTCAGTGACTGTTAGTTACTATTAGTAACTTGATTGGTCATGTAGCCAAGGGGCTGCTTATCAGGAGTCGGGGGTCTTCGAGGTCCTACACCCTGGAGACTGCACGGGCTCGTGAATAATTCTTCCCTTCGTGACTGTGAAGCAATTAGAAAAAGTGAGTCATCGCCATGCCCAGATGTTCTTCCTTATTAATAATCTTTATGAGACAACACGATTCATTCTAGAGAAGATATAGGCTTTGCCCTGGCTGGTTGTTCAGTGGTTAGAGCATCGGCCCATGGACCGAAGAGTCACAGGTTCGATTCCCAGGCGCGTGTGGGAGGCAACCAGTCAATGTGTCTCTCTCACATCTCTCCCTCTCTCCTCCCTCTCTCAGAGCATCGGCCCGTAGACCGAAGAGTCACAGGTTCGATTCCCAGGCGCGTGTGGGAGGCAACCAGTCAATGCGTCTCTCTCACCTCTCTCTCTCTCTCTCTCTCTCCCCCCTCTTTTCTTGCCTCTTCTTCCTCTCTTCCACTTTCTCTCTGAAGATCAATGGAAAAAATTTTCTTGGGTGAGGATTAACCAAAAAGAGGAAGAGATGGGCCTCTAGTGAACCTGGCCTGGGTATGTGTATTTCAGTTTTCAACCCAGCTGAAACAAAGACTAAGAACAAGAGGGTGGGTTGCAGCTGATGCCTTTAAACCCCAGAAAATGCAGCTCCGTGGAAATGATTGTGTCTTTTTGCTTTCGGATTTCCTACTGTTTCTCATTTGCTCACATGGCCCCATATGTGGAAACCTACCTGTTTACAGAAACCCAGAAAGGGAGAACAACTCATGCTTTTCACAGCGACTCTAATGATAGACGACTATCAATCAAGCAAAAGAAAAGTGACTTCCTCATTCAGAACTTGGGATAACCCCAATGGTAACCCCCTAGATTGCATTTGCAAGTCGTACACACCCCGACATAACTTTGGTTAGAATCGAATGCCCACAGGGCTGGTTGGTGCTGCTTGGCTCAGGTCGGAGAAGTTTAGCCTCATGGTTTATAGTGACCAGAAAGATCCCTTGCCTTTGGCTGGAGGCCACAATGGGAACTGCCTCAGTTTCCCTGAGATTGGACCATAGTGAGCCCTGCTACGGATGCCCCGACCTCGTTTTCTAGTCTTCTTAATCACTGCACTCACCCAGAGGCTGGGCGTGCACGGTTCACCTTCCCTGGAGACCCTGCCCCTGTGCATCTCATGAGGTGGCTCACATCTCCATCTAAACCAGCGGTTCTCAACCTTCCTAATGCCGTGACCCTTTAATACAGCTCCTCATGTTGTGACCCAACCATAAAATTATTTTCGTTGCTACTTCATAACTATAATTTTGCTACTGTTATGAATCATAATGTAAATATCTGATATACAGGATGTATTTACATTGTTACAAATTGAACATAATTAAAGCATAGTGATTAATCACAAAAACAATATGTAATTATATATGTGTTTTCCGATAGTCTTAGGCGACCCCTGTGAAAGGGTCGTTCTACCCCCAAAGGGGTCGAGACCCACAGGTTGAGAACTGCTGATCTAAACGAACGTGTGTATGTGTGCCCGTGTGTGCACTCGCGACCCACAGGTTGAGAACCGCTGATCTAAACGAACGTGTGTGTTTGTGTGTGTGTGCCTGTGTGTGCGCAGCGCGCGCACGTGTGTGTGTGTGTGTGTGTGTGTGTGTGTAGTGAAACACACATAACAAAAAATGTACCAGTGTAACCATTTTCAGTAGCTTTAAAAACATTGACCTTCTTGTGCAACCATCATCACCGTCCATTTTCAGGACCTTTTCATCTTGCAAAACCGAAACTCCGCATCCGTTAAACAGTAACTCCCCATTGCCCCCTCCCCCCTGCACCTGGCAGCCGCCATTCTACTTTCTATTTCTATGAACCTGGCTATTCTAGGAACCTCACAGAAGGGGATTCATACAGTGTTTGCGGTTTTGTGACTGGCTTCTTTTTATTTCGAATAATGCCCTCAAGGTTCATTCATGTTGTAGCATGTGTCAGAATTTCCTTCCTTTTTGAGGCTGAATAATGCCCCAGTGTGTGTGAGTGTGTGTGTGTGTGTGTGTGTGTGTGTGTGTGTGTGTGTGTATCACATTTTGTTTATCATTCACCCATCAGTAGACACTCGGGTTGTTTCTACCCTTGGCTATTGTGAATAATGCTGCCATAAACGGGGGTGTGCAGATATATCTGTTCGAGTCCCTGCGCTCATATCTCTTGGGTATATACCCAGACGTAGCCTTGCTGGATCATATGGTGATTCTATGTTTAATGTTTTAGGAGCTGCCATACAGTTTCCATAGCAGCTGGACCACGTTACATCCCCACCAGCAGGGGTTCCAGCATTTCACGTCCTCACTAGCACTTGGTTTTTCCTGGTTTTTTGATCGCCATTCCACTGGGTGTGCGGTAACATGTCGTTGTGCTTTGCATTTTCCTAGTGGTTATCGAATCGGAGCATCTTTTCACGTGCTCATTGGCCATTTGTAGATCTTCTTTGGAGAACAGTCCTTGGCCTGCTCCTAATTAGGTTGTAGGATTGTAAGTGGTTGCCGAGCCTAAACTATTTTGTGCCCAGGAAACAGCAGCTCTCATCTTCAGCCGCTGCTGATAGCAACAACATGGCCAGCGTTTACTGAGCCCTCACATCCCCTCGCACGGTGCTAAGTGTTTGTATGGCTTTCCCCCCTTTATCCTCACAGCCACCTGTTGCGGACTATGTTGTGATCATCTCCACTTTACCCTTGAAGGAACCACAGTGTGGAGGCCTTGCTCCCCGTATCACAGCTGCTGAATCAACAGGGTGTGACCCTGATCGGACTGGTCTCCAGGGGATGGCACCGAATTCCTAGCCCCACCCACCCAGGGAGCTGGCATTGAAACAGCTTCTTCAGTCAGCAGTTCATCCACACAAACATTTGAGAGAAGTGATTTGATAGGAAACCACCCCGGCCTCAGGACCTGGGTCCCCACAGAAAATCCCATTTTCTTCCATATAGAGAATCACTTCCTAAAACCCCACAGAAACGTGGGGCATTTGAAGTGCTAAACCCTCAGCTGCTCAGAAAATGCTTTCTCAATGGAACGATGTGACACGTTCACCAAGGACCCAAGTCCCCACCTAAGTTCATTTCGTGGGAGGAGGCAGCATTGTTCTCAGGGTCCAATCCTTTCCCCACTTGCAACTAACAGCTTTGCGATCAGCAGCCCTTTTTCATCTGAGATGCACAGCGTCTCTCGCCCACAGTCTGTCCGGATCTGGAAGTGGGGAGGGAGAGGGAAGCAGGGGGCCCTCATCTTACCCTTCTGGGCGCCAGCTCCCCAGCCTTGGGAAGATCTAACACAGGCTTCTTTGGGGATCATTCTCTGTTCCTTTTATGTTGGGCCTTATCTGGCCTTGGGTTCACACAGCCCGGGCCGGGGCTGGGGCCGGGGCCAGAGCCCTGACTTCGGGCTGGGAAGAAGCTGGCGGAACATTCCCCAGCAGGGCTTGGGCAGGACCAGGGAGTCCCGCCTAAACTGCAGTGGACAAAGGCGCCCTTGTCCGTAGGCCTGGGGGTGGGAGGCATCTGGTCAGTGACACAGGCTTGGCCATTGTATGTCGTGACCTCAGCCAACTTTTTTTAGCTGAGAAAGGGGAAAAAGAGAGAGAGTGTTAAAAAAAAGGGGGAGGGGGGTGGAGAAAGAACTCCCCGAGAAGCTGCATCTGGAAAGTCCGGCGGCGATGACTTCCCACAAGGGCTGGAGCGGATTTGGAAGTAACTGTGCAATGTAGCGGGTTCTTTGTGAAAGAGCGGCCCTGAGAGAAGCCACAGGAACATCCTCTGGGTGCCCGGAGCCCTGACCCGGGGAGCCGCTCGCTTCAGCCTCATTTCCCGCAGAGGGTGCCATGCGGAGGCAGCTGGCGGGGGCCTGGCCCTGAGTCCGGGGACTTCAGACAGGACCCCAGCCTCTCCTCCGAGTAGCAGCCCCAAGGAGATGAGCTGTCCTCTGATGGTAAGAACTGACCCTGCTCGCCTGCCGAGGTGTGGGCTCAGCTTGCTTTTCTTCTGCGTGTTTCCAAAATGACTTCGACGTTTTAAAGAGGCAGCTCTGACAACCTGGAGCTGTGGGCTCCAACTGTTAAACTCAGAGGGCCTGGGGGCCCTGAGTGCTGGGGGCGCCTTTCACGGGCCCCAGGCATGAGCAGGGAGGAAAGCATGCTGGGCCGTTGTGAGAGAAGTCCGGAGAAGAGGAGGGGAGGAGGACAGAGATGGAAAGAGGGATGTCCATGGCGGGGAAAGGGACTCTTAGCTCCCCCGGTTCCCCGAGCAGCAGAGTGGCCGCTTGGATTTCTCTTGCGGCGATTGCAGTCCACCTGTCACCGCCCCGTTTAACTTTCCCACATATGAAGCTTGGCTTACAGCCATCTACCCACCTGCCTTCTACCCCATGGCCCAGTTCTAGCCGGGACACCACAGGGTGAAAGCCCAGCAGGGGACATAGCTTTCCAGAAGGTAGTTGAGTATCTGCCCCGGAGACCCAGTGTCCCCATGGTGGTTCCAGGCTGGGCTGGATGCTTGTGTCCAGTTGGATGGTGGCGGCAGTGGCCATAATGGAAATAATGGACGCCGTCCTGAGACTCGGGTAGACCTTTCTGCTCTGGGAAGGTAGCCACCCCCCTTCTTTGGGAAGCGGGCCCTCTCATCAGCCTAGACCTCCGTGAGCACCGCCCTGAGGCTCTGGCAGCTGGGGAGGTCCAGTTTCCATGGAAAGGCTCATCCGTGTCCACACCTCCCTCCGGAACACTCTTCCCCACTCGGCTTCTGATGGGGCCCGAACTGGTGCCAGAGAAGGTGACGGTGCTCATCACCCAGGTGCAGCCACTGATGGGCCAGTTCACCTCCTAGAAAGTTCAGAGCAGGGCTGCCCAATGGTCAGGGCGCATCTAAGTCGTCCCCAGGGCAGGGCCTGGGGCTCTGCATTTATAATCAGCTCCAAGGCTGCTCACCCGGGGACACACCTGAGAGACGGCGGTAAAGGCCCCAGACCGATCAGCCAGGACCTGGGGGGCTTAGGGGGTTTGTGGGAAGAGGGGTTCACAGAGAAGATGAACACTAGGGACATTCAGGGAGCGGGGAAGGGCCCGGGCAAGGCTCTTGGCAGAGTGGGTCAGGCAGACACGGAGGTGTGTGGGTTTGGGTGTAGGCGGTTGGCGGGGTGCCCACGTGTCAGAGGACTGTGATCGGGGTGCAGGGCGAGTGGTGGACAGAAGCACTGACTGCCGGCAGGCCCGGAGCAGTCCGCTGGCGCCTGCCTGGGCCTCGGGGCGAATTCCAGCTGCAGATGCAGGGGAGCCCGGGGTGCCAGGCAGGAAGCGGAGGGCTGGCACACAGAGCTC